TGCCAGCATGCTGGTGGAACCGAGTTCAGAAACTTTTACAGCGTGGTTAATTGATATTGATTTTTGATTTTTCGGTTGCGACGTGTTTTGACTTTCCTTCGGAACCTTAGAAGTGATTGATTGGGTGGAACCTCGAACATAAATCAACGGACAGATGACCTAAGTGGTATTACCTGGCTCCTGCAACTATTGACCAAAACCAAACCATGGTGACTTGAACCCAACAGGAAGCGAACCTCCAACTTGAGCGAAAGTCCATTTGTGAACAGAACACCATCTTGTTACCAGAAAAGACATATGCTGATAGGGCCTCACAAAGTTGTGCTGAATTTCAAAAAATAGGCTCAGACTAGTCGAGAAAATCGTAGTAGTTTCTTCTAGCAAATTGACGATACCTAGGGCGGAAGTGGTGTAGTGACAAGTGGCGCGCTCACCACGCGAGCGGTCCGGGATCAAATCCTGGGTCGTGAGTCGCCCGGGCCAACCAAGCCTTCCATCCCTCCGGGGTCGGTTAATTGGTACCAGACTTGTCTGGGAGGATAAAAAACACTGACTTGTACATCGGCTGGCCCCGCAAGTCATTGTATAGGCCACATCGCATTCAAACGCCACTACGAATGTACAAATGGAAGTAGAATGCGTGCCGCATCCCAAAAAGGGATTGATCAACGGCAAATGCTTTATCCTTTTTTATTTACAGAGGACGAATCGGAGAACCAGCCATGCCCAACGGTTTTTGAAAAGTGGGTACGTAGGGCAAGTAGTGTCACACTTTTACTTCTTTGTTTTCAGTGCCTCACGAGGATTCCAAACCTAATCTTAGGTAAATGGACCCTTGGCGCTACATGTCACTACCATTTTGGCTGTTTCTTTTTTGAAGTTAGTTGTATGTCTGCGGGACGAGCAAGGCAAAGTTTTGGACACGTCCTTTCACGGTGTCAACGTCAGGGGGTAGACCGACGAAAAGCTTGATAGCCTGACAGTGCTGTACCTGGCCACCTGTTGCCCTCTGCACTTAACAGAGACAAATTTTAGGCTCACGCAGTCACCTATGACCGCTCAATCTTTCCAAAAAACTTGTTTGCATTTCAAACTAAGCAACAGTTGGGCTCGAATATCAAGTTTCTGGAACATTTTTCGGCCCTTGATTGAGTGCAATATTCAAATTTTTGCACTGAACATCGGCTGGTGCTAATCTATCCCTTGGAGATTGTTGGAGGCAGCGGAGTTCCAGTAACGACGCCCGCTCGTTCTATCAAAAATTGTCCGTCAAAGTTTGCAGCAGCTGAGCGCACAACGGGTACAGCAGTGGAGCAGCGGAGTGGGAAGGCAGAATGACGAGAGTGCAAAGCGCAAAAAAAAACTCAATTCAGTGTAAATCCCGATCGCGGCGCCGTTGAGCCGCTAAGAGTCAGACGAGCGGCGGCAGCAGCTTTGCATTGGAAATACGATCCGACCGGCTTGGCGGGGGACCGGAAAGGTGTTCAACGCTGCAGAACCCGATGTCATCATAGTCTACCATCCCACCTAGGGAAACAGCAGCTCCACACACACAAAATGTTGGAGCTGACCCCGGTACTGCCGCCGCCACCGGGCGGCTATCGCCTGTTCGCCACGTTTCCGTTCCTGTTCTCATCGGACTTCAGGGTCAGAAGAGGTGTGGCACCACTTCTTTTCTATAGCAAAAATGGTCTTCAGGTTTTTTGAAGCCAGTAAATTTCATGAAATGGTAGAAAAACAAAGCATTCTTTGTTGATCAATCCTTTTTCGGATGCGCCATGCGCTATCCAAATTCCGTTTACAATTCGTCGTAACATTTTGAGTGGGATTTAGTGCCTACAAAACGAATTGCAAGGACCTCGAAGTTTATGTTGTTTTTATGCTCCCAGTCAAATGGTACCAATCACCCGTCCCAAGAGGGATGAATGACTTGGTTGCATGGACGGCGTACGAACCAGGATTTGATACCTGGACCGTGCGCATAATATGCAGAAGCCTTCCCACTTCACCACTTCCCCTCAACTTATCCCATAACTCCAGAAGTTTTCGTAATTGCAGGAAATTACCTTTTTTTGTGGTAAAAGATGCCATAACATTTTTGTAGGTTCAGTAAGGTCAGATTCAACCAAGTCGATCAAGCCGGCATGCCTCTCTTGGCGAACTGCTTGTTCAATAAGGTGTTGTGAAAAACTGCCACCAAAAATCATGCCGCTCAGGGGATTATCTTTGAGCGATTCAAATGCCTCGAAAAGTCTGGAGAGAAATACCATTACGTGGCGCATTCCATATAATTTTGTATGTAATGCAATTACCCCGCTAAAATCGGTGTTGGTAAGTTTCAGCATATAGTTTTAATTGAACTAAAGCAGATGAAGGAAATTTTGTGAAATACTATAAAAAAAGATAGTGGTGAACCTTGGAAAAAAAAACCTTGGTTCCTTAAGGATCCTCATTTTTGATAATTATTGATCGATATAATCTAAGTGCAACAATATCGAGTAGGCTTCGCTAGTAGAGAAGTCATTTACTTCGATTTCAAACTTTGGTGGTTACAATATAAATCTGAAAATGGAACAGGTTTTGGGCTCATATTCCGAAGAGGGGGCACTGCATTCACCATATTTGAAACTTTGGCAAAAATGTCTTCCTAGCGATAAAAAAGGGTAATGGTCACCTAGTGAATAACTGGGACTGAGCCTTAGAGGGGAAGGAGGGACTCTGAGGTGCGTGAGTGTTCATTTATTCCAGAATTCTTGCCCCTCCCAGGCTCTTTAATGAATGTTCTTATTATCCAGGTCAAAAACCCGTACAAATACAGAAAAAGAAAACTCGAAGAAATGGCTTAGGAATAGAGTAGCTAACAGTTCGCAACTTTGGAGGACATCCCTCGCAAGATTTCGATAAGAGCAATTCAAACTGGACTTCTACGCCGCGAAGCCCCCTTCACCTACGACGATTAGAGATCAAGATTTTTAACAATGTACAAACTTAAAAATAGCATGCTGAACTGTACGAAAAGCTAAATTGTTGAACTCCTAGAATAACACGTCAGAATTCCTTCAATTTTCCAGATTTTCCTGTTTTTACATACCTATTTTTATACCCCTGAAAATGTATAAAATTATACTCATTCACCTTAAAATCGGACGTTTCTCTCTCACGTTCGTTCGCCATGCAAAAATCGAACTACTGCGTATTTTGCTGCTTACATGACTTTTATTTTTTTTCACAATACTTGAAAACGGCTTCGCAGGCTCTACGGACCAGGGGGAGTCCAACGTCTGAGATTCACCCCATAAGATGAGACGTATTTAGCTCTCTGTGAAGGGACGAAGTGGGTGGAATTGTCAGTGTATTGTCCGAGAGGGGTCCGGGAGCTGATCAAAAAAAGTTGTGGGCATTTTCAGAAAGACAAACAATAAGCCCTGGAAAATTTTATGGAAAATTCAGTTAAGCTATAAACTTTCACGAAAGCTTTATGAGTTTTACAATGATCTTGGAATCTCGGCTATTTTTACGTCTATTTCACTTGACCATATTCTTCAAACCCTACCGTTATCATTCCAGATGGACAGAGGAAATGACGTCTGAAACGTCTTGGCTGCAGAGGGATCGTGGGCTTACGTTAAGGGTATTTAGCCCTAGTCTCTGAGACAGTCGCCTCGTCCTGGTTCATACCTCAAGTCTTTTGCAGTGCATAAACGGGCTCAGGCTTATTCGGTAGCCACTTCTTGCTACGCTCTTTCAGACTATCTCGTCTTAAAAGAGTATCGAACGAAAAGGATTAAACTAATTCGATATACATTCAGCAGCCACCAGAAGATATCGTAACACCTTTAGCTACCCAAGAATCAAAAAAAGCAGAGGTCAAACACGAGTAGTTTCTCGGGTCGCTCGCCAGCTATTGAAAAGATTTCTCTATCGCTTTTTTTCAGCTGAATACATGCCACATTTTTTTGCATTTTCCTATGAGAAACTTCAATAATATTTCATTTTAAAGAATTTTATTAGTTTAATTTATGAACGCTAGTGCAAAGTGCAGTTTAGAAACTGGTTTGCTTATATTTGAAGCTTTTTACTTTGAATGAGCCATTAGAGAAGCATCAATTCTCGCTGCACTTTCCTTTTCCAGAATTAATATAGAATTTTGAAAGGTCTTGAAGCGATTCGCATTACACGATAAAGGGTAGACCTATACGAAGTTATATTTATTTATATTACCTATCGGCATTCACGGCCCTATGTAAGGAGCGCCCCTTGCATTTAAAATGCTAGTAGCTACCATCTGTAGATTTAGTGCTGACATGCGGCGGCTTAGTTACGGGTCGAAGCATTATTCTCCTAAAAGAGGTTGTAACGAACTAAATTCAAAATGGAAGGCTGGGTTGACCCTCACTGGTCGTGTGCCAATAGCGCCTACACTGATTCTACTTTAGAAGTGTTCGCAGATGCATAAAGATTCATTAACAAATGGTGTTAATAAAATACAACAAATAAAAACAGGAAAAATAATGAATAAATAAACAATAAAAACAAATAAAAAATAAATAAATAAATAAAAATATAAAAAACCAAAAACAAAAAAAAAACAAACAAGCACTACAAGCAAAATTTTCGAGTATTGAACTATTTCAATCGTAGCGCTTTGGGATGCCGTACTTCGTACTGCACATTTTTTTCAACCGGCATTGTAAACCTGAATAAAATGGAAGGCAAAAAGGACCCGAAATTCTCCTAAAAACAATATTGTGTATTTATATACTTCGATTCCGTGTTTGTTCTAACAAAATGTTACTTCAGTTGACTTACCCTTGGTTTAGCGTACTTCAATCGCGAAGAAGAAGAACTAAACAATGTTATATTTGGCCATCCGAGTCTTGAAAGAGTCTTAACTACATATTCTAGACATTATGGATTTTCCAATCTAACCTAATTCTTAAGAATTATTTTTGTCTCTTATTTTCAGAACAACAGCTCCAACTGATGAACTCTATCAATACATGGTAAAAAATGGCCAATTCACAAGTCAGCTGGCAAATGTGATTTTTACGCTCTGCGCTCAACTGAAAACCTCCGGCATTAACTTTGGAACAAACGCATCGAAGTAAGAAAATATGACGTTGATCAATTATTGATTTTTGTGATGTGGGTGTATACGCAAAGATAATGCTGATTATACTCTGAACAATGTTCCCAATTTCCCAGATATTATTGTCAACTCAGAGTTCCTGCATTATACAATGCTCGCCCCCATTGACGGCAACTGCTGGTCACTGAGCGGCGGTGCCTTTCGCGCGCGCATATTTATATCACGTCATCCTAATGGCATCGTTAATGTACCGCTCGTTTGGACGACGTCACGCCGTGACCTGCGGATGCGCATCCCTATGAAAACTACACCGACATGCTGTTAGGACCTACACAGCATATGCACACGTTGATGAAGGTTCTAAAGCATGACTGCGGGACGAATTATGTTCCGATTTCCGAAGAACCGGACACAGCAATGAAAATACCCTAATTTCCGGTAGATAAGCCCGCGCCGATATCACGTAAAAACACCTCCGCTGGTGCAGTGCACTTGCGTACATCTAGAGACAACCGTAACTTGCCCATAGAGTCATTTTTGGCGGTGGCGCCATCTGGCGCCAGTTGGCGTCACCTTGTCACGACCCTTGTTTTCACCAAAATCGGTGTAAACTTCTGTATAGGGGTTATTTGGTGTCCTGATTACGAATATGACATTCGTTTTGAGCGTCAGCTATCTACCGACCCCACAACTAGTTAAACGTTCTCCCTGCACAAAATTCCTATTCCAGAAAGCTAGGATTAAAATTTATCTGCTAATTCAATGAACTTGGTTTAGCAATATTCGCTCGTCGATACCGTAATCCTGAGGAATTTCAGATGAACTGAACAAAGTGTTCGTGTCGCTTCGACAGGCCTGCTGCCGAGACAACGGTCAACTGGGGACGCCATGCAGGTTAACCTACCATAGTAATTTTTTGGTATAATCGTAAAATGAGACGAATTTGTCGTCATTGCGGAAACGGCCCTCTAGGGACTGTGCCACTTTCAAAAGAGTAGTGGCTCAAAGCACCCTCAACGATACTGCCAAGTGAACTCAATTAAAATGGGGCTTTTCTTTGATTACGGTACCTTCACAGCACGCAAAGAGTCCCATCCAGTTAGGGGGCATTACGAATTAAACACCGAGCGCATTTGAAACATGTACTTTGCTATCGAACTTCGAAGGCTATGTTCACGGAATTGGGAGAGACACTAGGGTGCAGGAAGGAGTTTTCGTTTTCCCCGAGTTCCTCCTCTCCCTAGGCTTGGTTCTTGAAAAATCCTTATTCTCAGACTCGCATTAGCTTTTTTCGCGCTATAAAGCACAAAAACGAGTGACACCATACAAAGCAGCGCCTCCCACCTTCCCTTGCTGGACTTAGGGTATGATCCCTTAGGCCTGATCGCAGATATCGAAGTTTATTTTGTCAATTTGAATGGGCAATCGAGCTTTGTAACATGTCCGCAGTCGGATTGTGACCTATCTGGGTATTTTACGGAAACTTAGCAAATGAACTGATTCTATCGCCTTATTTTCATGTACAGACTGAAAATCATGGAGCTTGTCGAACTGCGTGCAATGCACTGGCGGAGCAATCTGGCACACAGTCAGTACTATCTCAAACGTCCTGAACAGCGTAAGGCTTGGACGGATACATTCTAAAATCAGACCTCTAAGGATGTGGATTGGAAGGGGTGACCAAATGATTCTTAAAACATTCCCGTATGGATTACCTTTACTCTATCTTCTTATGTTCTATGCAAAAAGTAAAGGGTATGTCACCGTCGATGTTATGTTAAAAGCGCTCTTTGAATGGCACTTAAGGCTCCATTGGCTATAATAACGCTTTGATATCGCAGGAATTATTCGAATTCATCTAACTATAAGACCACAATAAGGTTGCTCATTGATTTTCAACGCTCGGGATTCAGGTAAAAACGTTGTACAAATATGGTGCGGTATGTCACTGGCGATGTTTTTGGTGAATAACCTTCGGACTTGACTACTGCCACGTCATCCAAGTGTCCGAAAAGCGGACAAATGTGGCGGATTAACCACAAGAATAGAGGAAAAACCAATGGGGGAGGCCTGTCGAGAAGGAGCAACAAAGAGGAAGGGGGGGGGGCTGAAGTTTTTCAAATTCCACGGCAAGGCATTTAGGGCGATGGCATGGAAATTACCAAAATACGTGGCTAATGTTCCGTGCTAAAGGAAAAGTATAGACATTCAGCATTGATCAGTCACTTTTGGGATGTGCCTCGCACTCAACTCCCATCATTAATCGTATTGACAACTTTAATGCGATTCTGCCTATTACGATACTTTGCGTGCGCCAGTCAATGTGCAAGTCAGTGTTTTTACATCTCCTAAAAAAATCTGACAAAGAAGATGGAAATGCCTGCTGTATGATGGCTGGGGGGGGCTTTAAGATCCAGCATTGACCCCCGGAAAAATCGTGAGCGGTAGCTAGCGCTACTTCCCCACTGCAACCACTTCTACCCATACCTTAACTTATTACTCTCGTGGGAACCCTATGAATGGTTCAATTTCAGAACAAGAGCCGCCTGTCACCCCACAGCCGATGACTTTTCTGCCACAAAATCCTCTATTCATGCCGCCCGAAACGCCACCAGCAACACATCGTGAGCGAGCCTATCAATAGGTTTTTTGTTATGTAAATTTGATCGATTTTCAAATTCAGCGTCAAATGCTGGTTTTTATTTGATTCCCGCCTCGGGTGGTTGGATGCCACCGCTGATTCCCGGGATACCACCAAACCCATTCATGCCACAACCATTGCTGACACCTGAAGCCGTATTGATGCGTCAACGAAGTTTGAACAAAAAGGTAACTATGCTCGATTTTTCTCACCCAAAATCGATATTATAAAGTTAAGCTATCTATAGCTAGTTATTAGTTAAGCTTTGAATATAGTTAGTCAGAGTGTAAAATTTTTTCGAATGAATGCAAAATGACTGTATATAGAAAATTGCGGAATAAATGACGACAGAATGGAAACAGTTCTTCAATTAATGA